AAAAAAACAGTAACTAGGCCGTTTGTGTGCACTTGCAGCTCTATTTATTGCTTAAATTTGTCAAAGGTAATGTTAGAGGAGATTTTTTGCCTGCTACCTTGCCTACGCTTTCTCAGCGCTGTAGGAACGCAAAGAAATTTCGCGAGTGGGTGCGTTCTCCCTTTCAGACGCTTATTCTTGCTTCTAAGGCCCGTATGCACGTACATCCCCTCTCAGATCCCCTCCCCTCCCCAGCGGGGATGTACGTGCATACGGGCCTAAAAGTTTGTGACCGAATTATTAAGTTATAAAGCACGGGGATGGGGCTAAAACTGTGCATTAGATTGCAAAGTGCGGTAGAAACAGTCTAAGCTAACAAGGAGTGAAAGTAAACAATATCGTAGCCAATGAGGGGTTACGGTAGGACGACGGTAACGGTATGCGCTGCTACCATTGGCCGTTGCGCTTCCCGAAACGCTTGGCTCTTGTTGAAGGGGACAACAGACTAAAGGGTAATTGAGCTTGAACTGCAGAGCGATTCTTTTTGCATCGAAAGGAGGGTTTGATTACTTGAACAGTAGCACATAGAGATTCATTACCGTACCTATTAAACTGATTGTGCACTATTTGAATTGCTGCGTAGGCAATTACTATTAGAAATCCACTTTATCACTTCTGAATCTCACAAACGTGCTTTGTCTGGAGGTGCTCAAAAAGAGAAGCAACTATTTTGGTCTAGATAGACTGAACACGTTTACGTTGACACTCGGTGCATCCTGCAACGAGTGTGCGTAGGAAAGGAATGTTCGCTTTACTTTTTGAAATGGGCTAGAAGTCCTCTGTTTATCTAGTCCAGGAATAATAGATATTGATTACGCAGTGTCGCTTGATCTAGGGTAGCAGCGAAGCAATGCTTTCCAGAAATGTTACAATCCCATACCGCAAAATCATCTCCTAAAGAGTTTAGAAGACGTAACATAATATGAAAACGGATGGATTGTCCGCTTCAGGATCAGTTCATTTCCGACAATTTTTTATTAGATCCCATTTTTTGAAGCAAAATAAAAAAGAAATACAATGTACACATAAGCGTAGCTGAAATTCTTAGTAGCAACCCACTTTTTCGAGGGATCAAAGTGATGAATGATTCACCATCTTACTTTTAGTATTTTGGTAAAGTACGTTACCAACAGGACCAGGCATTCTGCGATTTTGACTAAGTCGCTATGTGGGTGCAAAAACATTAAAGTAGTTGGATTTTCCCACAAAGATGGTTAGAAATTAGCAAAAATTTATCTTGTTCTTTGAAAGCTAGAAATTCCTTCGCATGCAGTTCTGCTGTCCGATCAAGAACTACTCATTAGAATGCATAGAAAAGCTCTAACATCAATCATTGTCACCAAGCAAACGGAAAAGCTGCCCTTGTCGCTTTTTACCAGTTGCTGCGGACAATAGTATCCGGACGTTGAACTTCCGAATTTTTGGTAGAATTTAAGATTTCGCAAAGTAGCAGATAAAATTTAGGGCTCGTTGGAGCAAAATGTTAACAAGAAATGACATATTGAGGTTTGGCTAGAACTTAGATTTGCAGCATGAAACATAATGCTGACCTTTTCGTTACTGCAAGAATGAGGTAGAATTTCTGACAGAATAGAGTTTGAATAAAATAATTGAATAAAAATAATATAATAATATAGTAATTGAATAAAAATTATTGTTAGAACCCGAAATTCTACCTAGATCAGCGACTGCGGTTTAGTTATCGACGGAATTTTCTTCAGTTCTTGGATTTTTGAAGCAAGATTTAGCTAACGCAGTTTGGCACTTTCTTACCATAATTTCACTGCAGTAAAGAACTGATGCCCTTATACTGTAGATACTTAGAGCTTGCTCTAATGTTAATATATGTGTATAGTATAATACTTTTGCGACAAACTGTATCTGCAGTGAACTTATTCAAGTAAGCAAATTTTTCTTTATAATAAGAAGTTCTTTTAATATTGGATAAATCTGTTTCTTTTTTACATGGATCCTACTGAAACACACAGGTCGTAAGTCTCGTGCAGTTCACGGGACTTCCCATAAGCATTTAAAGGTTAACTAACCATAAGTGCAGAATTTTCACTTTGCTCCGCTGCACAGCAGTATGATTTAGATTGCGTCTAACTTTTTATAAGCATCACTTGCTACAGTAGATGTGGTTATTCAATAGACCTAAAAGTTGAGGGCTCAAGACTTTTGACAAAGCTTTGTCACCTAAAAGTTATGTGTTTGAGCCAAAATTCATTCACTACTTAAATCTACGTTAAACCAGTTTTGAAATAGGTAGTATCTGATTCTGGCAGTAGTCGTGAAGGACCTAGCAAACGTTAACTACATTTTTTTAGCTTGTAGAACATTTTTGACTTTGTGGAAACTTGAACTAAGATTAAAGCAGGGAATTTGTTTGAAAGATAAAAAGCCAAAGTCTTGGTCCTGTTTGATGGCTGTACTAGGCTATCCCGAAAGCTTTGTTCGATTTCTAGTTTCCTTGTGTTTGACGTAGCTATTTTTTGAGAATTTTATACTTATTGCAAAAATATGAACACCGCCTAAAAACTTTTTCTGCTCTTTCCAATGCTCACTAACTCTTTGTGAAACAGCTATCCAATGACGAAATTTCAAGCCCGAGTTCAAGTCTCCAGAATGCGGTCATGCTCGGAAAAGTTTTTTGAAGTTAATTTCACAGCGTCCGTAAAATGCGAATAAGTAAAATTTTACCATGGTTACGGGTATAATGTGCTAGGATATGCACACTTCTGCTCTCACACAGAAATCAACTTCCCATATTCGCTTACAAAGGTTGAAGATCCCCTCCGTTATTCTACAAGCCACAAGAATCTACACATAACGACAATCGTTGTATTTGATACTTAAGACGTCAGAGCAAAGCAAAACAAGCAGGAACTATTAGCCAAATAGCTTTTTTCATCCGCAACAAGTACGAAAAAATCAAATATCAGAAAGTCGCCAATTTTGCGGGCAATAATGATTCTTTTTGACTTGCTCATATAAATTTTTGCACAGCAAATTCAACACAAATTCTTTTTACCTATAATATAATCTCTGACATATAGGCTACTCAATGATGGGGACCAGACATGTCCGCCTATCCTTAAATGGGAGCATTACTATGTCAGAATTGGCCTTTCTGAATAAAACCTTCTTGAATTCTTCAAATTTCTTTATTCTCTATCACTTGTATTTCATGAATGCCATAATGTCCCTATGATAGCCATAAATTTGCCTAATCAAGCAAAATTTGGGTTGTTGAAAATATTGATTCTGAAAAAAGTTATAACATTTTGAGTCAGAGATTCTGCAAGTGGGACAGAACTTTCGAAACCTAGTGTAATGGCGAGCAACAGATTTTCGAATTATTGAACGCTATCTTCTGAACCCCGTTTTAGGATATGACTTTTATGTACAAAACCATGAATATGTGCGAGAGCTGCAACGATTGACAAACTGTGAGAAGCTAAATGTAGGGATTACTTGATGAGTGTGGAACCATCGATAATGCATCAGAATAGAAATTTGTACTACTTATATCCCCACATCTGTCAGCTTTTAAGAACAGCGAAGCTGTCCGATAAGGGCACACTATATTTCCCAGACAGACGAATTAGGATTAGTGAATGTTTTTCAAGTTTATGGCACCGTGATAACATTATTTCTTTTTTTAAACCTGATGTTGTTTTCTGGTCGCTATAGTCGCACCACTGGCATTATTTGCAAAACGAAAAGAGTGTGCTTGTAGTGTAGTGTTCCAAATAATGTGACTGTTTGATCTTCAATAGCTCTGTCGTTTCAAAGCCCTTCGTGAAGCTTTAAATACCACTATGTAGACCTGGCGGCATGGATCTACAAGCTCTCCGTTACTATATAGTCACAGAAGTTTTCAAAAAGAAATTAAAGAGTTGTGTAGCAGATTCACATACGTTGATTTCATGACTTTTCACAATTTCCAAAGCTTTTAAGTTGATGACATTCACGGTTATTTAATACCTGTCATAAGAGGACGCATTGTTGTAAAGTGTAATCGACTAAGTAAGAGGTTGTTTGTTGTGCTTTTGGAGGCAAAGTAGGGCCGGTGTTCAAAACTATCCAGATTTTCTTCCGTAGTCCCGCAGTAATAAAGATAGTGGTTTGCTTCATACTGAAAATTTTGAGACAAGAAAATTATCAACGATCAAAGAGTTTGCAAATTTTTTGGGACATCCTGCTTAGTCTAAGTTTTGAGTATTTCCTTCAGAAGATTGAGACCGACCATGGCATGTATTGAGCTGATCAAACATACGGGATTAGAAGTTAGCAAAACGTTTTGTTTTTGTATAAAGAATAGTAAAAAACTCATTTTTATGACATTTGGTAACGGCATGCTTCTCGCGCAATCGCAATTTTCTTTCTTCCCTGTTTTTTGTGAAAGGTTCTTTTGTTCGTTCGTGCATTTCGGACGCAGCTGTCAGAACGAACAAATCTAGAGCTTGCTCCTTATTACTCGCTTCGCTACATGTCACTTGGACATCCTTCACCATTCTGCCATATTTTCCTTGTCGAAAAAGTTCTGATTGCCTGAAAATACTTTGGTTCAATCTCAAGACTGAAAACTCTTCGAACACAGGTCAAGACATTTTGAGCACGACGGTTCAAAAAGTGCAAAAGGAATTTTGTTTTCGAATGAAGGATTGACGGTAGCCATGCCTTCAAAATTTCTGGGATGCTTTCCAAGGTTTTCGCGTCCTATAACCACAAGATTTTCAAAAGAGGGCGCGACACCCACTCCTCGGAGAAAAATTTGAAGGAAATTTCGATTTTTCAGTAAAATTTGGAGTTATTAGGTGTTTACAAGTAAGAACAAGTCAACCGCACATCCCGCCCTTTCAAGAAAAATCCCCCCCCCCCCCCCCCGCCCCGCTCGGTTCGCCACTGCTGTGAAGAGTGCGTAGCCCCTTCTCCCAAGCTGGATCTGGTGACACGACTGCTCATCATGATAGTCCTTCACTGCAAGCTCGGCGTTATGAAAAATCACAACATGAACGCTGGCGAAGTAAAAAAAAAACTCTACATCACAGAATATGCACAAATCAATGAGACACCCTATATGCATCATACTCGCATTGATAAACATGGTACAAACAGAGTTACCATACTGTTGAATATCAGCCAATATCACCTGAGTAATGAAAATACAGTCATATACCGGAATAACAAGCATTCTTTGCCTATTTGTTATACTATGCGAAGCTTATCGAGAAAAATTCCAAAAATGATGCAAGATGTGAGAACACAAAACCGTTAGGCAAAAGCATAGTTTTATAGCAAACTATGGAGTGAAACCAACATGATTTTAACAGACAACATCTAAGAATAGTCTAAAAATAGGGTACCTTAAGTAATAAATGCTAGAATGCGTGAGTGAGGTACGAAGGCAAAAAAGCAATGCTGCACATCAGATGCAAAGCCATTTGAAACTAAATGAGAAGCAGCAAATGCCAACAATTGACCTAATCATCTAATGTGATATCCCGGAAGAGTTGTCCCATAGATTCATTGTGATAAATGCGACGAACGGCTTCGCATAACATCAGCGATATGTCAACGGTCTTGATTTTATGGCAGCGCATTTTTTGCACCTCGTGGGGCACGGTATTTGTGACTATTACCTAGAAAAACAAACAAGGTTGAAGGTAACCACGCAGGTCGGTAACCTCTGATTCAACTGTTGGCGGCTGGAAGGAGCGGCACTGTGACCTAACTGAGGTCGCTCGCACCCGCAGCGCAGTCTGCGTCCCTCTCGCGCGCGTGCTCTTTGCATTATCTAGCCTTAAAGGCGTCACGAAGCCCCGCCTCCCAGCCGCCAAGCCAGTTGAATCAAAATGGAAATCTTGTTGACATTTTCCATAGTACGTTTGCTGACCTGAGTGATAGGTGATGCTTCCAACAGCGCCGGTGCATCCGAGCTCAAAACTCCATGTGTGGCTATGACATAAATTTTGTAAGCTCCACGTGTTTTCAGCACTTCTGCAGCAGCAACAAAAGACTGTGCGTCGTCTATGATATCATCCTGATAGAAAAATGATTTTTTATATCTTCGGTTTAATTTGGGAATGTATTGTGCAGCAATTTACGTACCACCATTATCGCTATTCGGCCACCGACATCTCCAACAACGGTCAATGGAGGTTTCTGTTTTGGTTCTTGAGCTTAAAAAATGCAAGTTAGTAAGGCCGCAGTGACTGAGGATAGAAAATATTTTTTGTCTACTTTCAAAACTAGAAAAGGAGAGCAAAAAGATGTAATACAATGATTCTCAATTTGACTTTCGACTAAGAAAATAAGGATCCAGCAAAACTTACATGGAAACAGTTCAAATGGTGCATAGTTGGGTGGAGGACTTTGTCTACCGTCCTCAAGTCCAGATTCTTCGGAATCCTTCTGTTCACCATGAATTACTGCCACACCTGAAATGAAACCTTGACATGTGTGCAAATCACATGCAATAGCAAAGCAATTACTCAAACCAGGCACAACCTCATCACTCAGATCAGTACAAACATGATAGGTTGAGAGGTAATAGGCAACAGCGACCACACCTTTGTGAATTGCCCCCCGTTCTCATGTAAAACATCGAATGTGTCGCTTTTATTGAGAGCAGATTTTATAGTAAAGTACATAGTGGATCGTGAGTGATTGAGAGCAACTAAAAGAAAGGGAACATCATATGAAGCATGCTAGTCTACCTCACTAGTGCATTGATTTCACTTCAAAAATTAGAATGTGAGACACAGGGGTCTATCTGAGAAATGAATAATAAGGATTATCACGCTTATCTAACATCTTTTCCAGGGACTAAGCGTCACTCGTGTAAGTGATTACAGAAAGTAAGAAACATGGTAGAAGTTGTCGATGATTTCACTCGGCATTTTACCACCAAAAATTTCTGTTACATAGGCATTATCAACATTTGCAGAAATCTTCGACATTTCCCAAAAGACGATCTAAAACTTCCAGTCAAATTTTCCTCTTTCGCCAAGAAACAAGGAGAAAAATCACCGACTATATAGACACACTTAGTCGCGCGAACAAATCATACCTGCCGCCCTGTATTATATATAAAACTCACTTCCTAAAGCTGTTCATTTGATGACTTGATATAGAAGTTCTGGGAAGAAGATATGACTTGGAAGTGCCAAAAGTAGAAAAGAGTTTACGTGAGATTTTCCCTATATTCAGAAAAGAGAGAAAGTGCTGTGCGAATTGAGAAAACTTACCCAAACGGAGGCGATCAGCATAAGAAGTGGCTTTGTTCATGACTCCCGGTGATTTTGCGACGATTATGGCGTTTTTATAGTCGGGGATCTGAAACGAGTAGTGTAAGGATGTTTTTTTTTGAACGGGGTCCCTCTTTTATCGACTACGAATGATCCTTCAAAAATTATATGTCTTCCTAAGTTTAAGAGGCAAAAATCACTGAAGTGAAAAATCAAATTGTAAAATAAGTCCTGAACAGTCGATTTACATATTCTTTGATATACTGGAGTAGAAATGGCGAAGCTCGGAGATTGTCCACAGGGATGGAGAAAAATCCCTGAATTTCCTTCTTGTACAGATCCAACGAAACCAAGCGAGATGCGCCTGTAATTTTCATTTTTTGAGAAATTTTAATGACAAGCTCGTCAATTTCACCCTTTTCACGTGTCGCTTTTTTTCTTCAGCTTTACGATTTTTTAAGTCTTGTTTTTATAAGGTGCCATTTTCTTAGCGGAAAATTTTTTTCGGTACTTTTCCGTTATCCGGACCCATTTTTCCAAAAGGCTCTCAAATTATACGTTCTTCAGTGTAAGAATAATTTTCTATAGATTCTACGAGAACTGCCCCTTGCTACGTGTCACGAAAAAATTGACACGTTTTCGTCCATTTTGACAAGTTTTTTTTTTTCGAAATCATTTCCAGAGAGATAAAAGAGAATTCGTGATTTCAAAGCTGCTTAACTGCTTTACATGAGCGCAAAACAATCATGAACTTATTCTAGAACATCTTGCTTGCTTTCAGCAGTGATTCAGAAGTGCATTTCTCCTAAACCCTTATCGCCATGCGAATTTAGCCGAAAAGACTATAAATGATAGCTTCAAGTACCCTGCGGCTGCTTATCATGTCTCTTAAATGACTGAATCCTAGCGCACTTCTCTATCCGGAGCAAGTCTAATCGGTCCATCGATGATTGTACAATGTCATTATTATTATGAAAATGTTTACTTCTAAATTGTTTGCTCGAAATGAGACCAAAATTAATTGAAAAACAGATTAAACTTACATCGCCTAGGTAAGGTAATACAAATTCTTCGTAAAACCTGTTAAACATGTAGATGACACGTCAAATTTTTTGTCACGTGGCAGAGGGTTGACACTCCTCCCTGTGAAGCTGGGACAAAATATGGTACAAGGATAGAAGCAATATCTTTCTTTGAAAAAATGGGTCCGGATAACGGAAAAGTACCATTTTTTCTACTAAATACTCATCGCTGTTGATATCCAGTCCACTTTTTCACCGCATAACCCCCAGCTACTGGGGAAAAGAAAACGGAAGTTATCATCAGCAGTAATATAAGGTAACGAAAAATCAATCAATCACAAGTCGCAAATCACGTACCAGCTCTGCAAATCATTTCGGCAATGAGTTTCATTGGTATTGAAGATCGCCTCAACATTCGACATTGCTTGGAATACGGTAGATACGGCATTATCACTGTGATCGTTTTTGACATGGATGTCTTGCAGGCATATATGAGAATCAGAAGTTCCATCACATCATTGTTGACGTTCCTTGAATTTTCATAGTTCTTATGCACAGAACTCATTTTGTCTATGATCCTCCACACTATTAATTTTCAACTTTTCCTTCTTTTTGATTTTTCGGTTATAAAACTTGCTATAAATGACCGTACTAAATTTGACAGCAGTAGCGGACAAGGGAAATTTTCCATTGGGAAGGGTTACAATTTTTGCGAAAGGCCTTGGATATATTGAGACAGTTAGTTCCGTTATCACCATATTCAAGGCTTCCATTCGATAAAAAGTGCGTGCATAATCTCTCTCTAAGAAGATGAATTTAATCAAAGACGGGAATCAAAAACAGTTAATTCTCCGATAAGAGATAAGATTCAGCAGGGCTACTAGAGTCAAAACATGTCACTTTTTCACCTATTAGGGAACGGCCATAGGTTGTCAGTGTTGTCCGTGCTGTCGATGTTGTCGGTGTTGTCGGTGTTATCGGGGTTGCCGAGGTTGCCGGTCGTTGTAGGATCTCATGATAGCCTCCACGTTTCGCGCGCTCTCTAAACTGTCTCTGACCCCGACAACCCCGACAACACCGACAACACCGACAACATCGACAACACCGACAACACCGACAACATCGACAACACCGACAACACCGACAACACCGACAACCTATGGCCGTTCCCTTAGGCCTCGGATGAAAAAGCATTCCTTCCGCAGTTGCCCAATTCTAGACAACACAAGTTTTTTTTGTCTATCACATTATACTTATAACTTCTGATGTACTTTGTTTTCTTGTTGCAGTATTGTTTTCCAGACAAACCAAAGTATGTACTGCTTGTTTAAGCTCATCAAATATTTTGTTCAAAATGACCGAGTAGACGACTATTTATTTTCGTGAATGCCCGGGTGGATGCGCCTAATAATTGTAGCAGCTAAACAGTACAAGAAAATACAATGCGGTCCAATTTTTGATCCATTCAGTAATCCCATGCTCTTCAGAAGGAATTTATGGGGTCCTGATTCGGAAAAATTAGTATGAGAGCAGACAGCTGCTTTGATACGAGGAATATCGCACAAATCCTCTCAGCCGATTTATGCTGAAGCAAACATTACACACACTCACATGAGCGCTCGCCAAAGAAAACACCTCCTATACTAAACAGTTTCTTTTGATGTACACTTTGAGCACTCTATTTCTCGGGCTAACGTTTCGGCATACAACGTCTTCTTGTGAGCTAAAGGATCGAAAACTATGTGAAACTGTTCTCAAACTACATCAGAGTTACATAAAAGATGCCCAATAACCGACAATCCAGCTCTGAATGTTTAACAGTTTTCTTTTGTCTACATTTCGCGCAAAGTTGCTGAGTCATTAAAACTTGAAACGAAGAAAGCTTCGAAAAGGGGCAGTCAGACAAAGTCTGTATGAAGGAAGGAAAAACTGCATGTCAATGGAAAAATCAAATGACTGATACTCACTTTGACCCGCTTTGAAGTATGAAGACGTGTTTGCCGCGTACAGACTGTTTTATATCAACAGAAGTTTCTAAAGCAGAACATTTGTGCTGCAAATAAGCTCTAGGTGAAAGCAACCCACCTCGATTCGTTTTGTTATATACAATCACTTCCCCTTGTCGGATACCGAGGCGGCTGGAAAACGGGACATCAGATTCTCATTGTGCGAGATTGAAGAAAAAGCATACTCACTCAGATACAAGACGAGACAGCTCTGGATGAGAGTTGCCGGACAACAGTACCATGCCGCTACTGTCGTCAGTTTTATAGTTGAGAGCGGCCATCTGTAAAAAAGTACTAGTAGATGATATAATGCAAGAATAAAGGCACTTAGAAACGGTGCCGAATCTGACAAGTTGACATAGAAGCGGACGATTCGCAGCGAAGAGAAAGGAGCTGAATCTGTAGATGTGAGGATGAACAGCAACAAGAGACGGCCCAGCATCGACAATGGACACAAAGCGCACGGCAAAGGCGGTTGAGGACGAAGCCGAACGTACCGGAATGAATTGTTTGAACTTACCCCTTCAATAAATGTGTTGCCGCCATACATGATTATATGAAGCGTTAGATAAAGCGCTTTCAGACTGACCAGCCCCGGGAGACGTTCGAGTAGAAAAATGAGCGGTAGAGTTGAGTTAAGCTTGATAAATACCGCTCAAACGATCGGCCGATCGCTGCACTGGTCGGAGAAGACGCGGCGAAGAAGGAGGAGGAGAGGAGGAGGAGGACGGCGAAGAAAGTGAGGAAAAAAACAGCGTTCGCATCAGCGAAAACACAACATACACCCCAGACGACGCCATACGCTTTGTGATATACGGCCGATCGATTTTGCCCTCTTGAACGGCACCCGTCAACAGCCAATAAATCGTGATTTTGGACATGAAGATCCATCTCAATTCCATGTGCTGCAAGGAAGCTCCCGCGTGAACAAGTCAAGAATGAGCATGTGAAGAAAAAAGCACTTGTCAACGAAGTGGCAAAGCCTAGCAGAAAGAGACCATCGACCGTTTGCGCTAATCAATCGAGTGCGGAAAGGTGATAAATCATCTCCGCAACCGTGGAAGTGCAAAGAACCACAAATGATATGGGAAAAAAGTAGATAATAAGGTTAGCAGAGGCTGGACCCTGTCCATTCGGCCTCTTATCAGCTGACGGGGCACTCTACTTAGGAGACGATCGATACCCCACACGTAGTGGAATGACGCCCACCCTGTGCAAACTCGAAAATAAATACAGGAATTGACTTGGTGCAGACGCGTTACTCGAAGAGTGGAAATTTTAGAAGGTTGAACATGCAATTAATTGCCTTCCTATTTTTAGTGAATTTCGCTGAAGTTTGCTTCTTCACGAGTTGCCATCTTTGGAAAGAATGAAGTAACCTAGAGGAAGGTCAAGGAGTCTTAATATCTACTGCACAGCGAAGAATTACGACGACAATGAATGCAGCTGTTTGACAGCAGCTAAAAAACTGACCGGGAACATAAGGATGCCGGTTGCCATGGAACCACTATATCGGCAGACGAATGCAATGTGTATCTTGCGCGCTCAAGAGTTGATTCAACTATTGATTCAGCTTAGGTCAAAAAATTAGCTCCACGGGTTTTTCTTTTGAGGAAGGGTCGAGCGCGGGTATAAATACACTGGTATTTGTAGAGAACTTGGCAAAACTTCAAGATTTATGGTATGGAACTTGTGGATTGCTGGCTAATCACTTGAATTTTTGAACATAGAAATACAGTTTTCAATTTTTCTAAGACAATATGTGTAAACGCATGGAGAAGAGGAAGGAGGAGAGTTCTTGAAAGTTCAGTGAGGTCCGATAGACTTCAACCACATCATTGCCGAGGTGCGGAGGAGAACGCTTCAGAAAAAGTGGCTTATCCCGCCCGTTTGGCTTACCCCGCCTTCACGCTTGAAACACAAGTGCTGAACCTTTAGAAAGCGTGGAGAAATGTCGGTTGTTTCAAGAAGTACTTGACCGCCGCAAATTCTGGATTTTTTCGATCTTTTCTCCCTTTCTGGCGCACATCGAGTGTGTCTATAGAATGAAATTAGAAAAAAATTCGGCTTCTTTGCCGTTTTTAAGCCTGTGTGTGGGTTCAAAGAAACGAAATGACTTTGCAATACATTCAGAACAAGGCAATCGAGTCCATTTAAAAAAAAAATTTGCATAAATACACCTACATACAGCCTAGTAAATCAGAGGTCAGTTTACTGTTTATACTAACGATCAACATTTGTAATTGCGACTCTATGTACATTTTTGCGCCTCGCAGGCAATTCGTCGACATTTACTAGCATGAAGTTTGATTTCGTGCAAATGTTGTCTTTACCGTAGGGACACTATATCGACTGTCAAATTCACTAGACTGTATATACTATGCATGAATGAACTTATTTTACATTGCACGGAGAATCTCTGGCACGACTTGTGTATGTTGTGAACTTTTTATCAGATTCCAATCACAAGGTTGATTATGAGAACTACATTAGCTAGCTAGGCATGCGATCTTGAAAAATTGGCCAAGGTGTTGGTTATATGTTGTGATGAACTTGGAAGATGTCCAATTCTGAGACATGAATGATTAGGTTTATGTTTATTGTGCTTTTGGCACACACTATGCTTTTACTTTTGACCTCTAAAGGAACTTCTATTACGCAGTATTAATTCTCGAAAGATGTGAAGGAAGTGAAGTATTGTTGCAGCTTCATTCTAACACGATTGCTAGTTTCAGGTTTTGTGATGGCGTCTAATGTGGAAGGTAGAACAAACGAAAAGCTAAATAATCTTATGTTGGAGCGAATCGCGGGTACATAGATACTCATAATTGGGGTAAGTTCCATAAAAAGCATATCTAATGATAATTTGCCGCAATTGGGAAATCATTAGAAATAAGATTAGTTGTAGTGAAGTGGAGAATGACTGACATGGAACAGTTACGCGAGATAGAAAATGACTGGTTGCAGAGAACACCATCCATATTCGACGAACCACAATCGCTCTTCCATCAAGGTTGTGTTATGGCGATACAGAATCACGATCAGAGAAAGGAAAACTTGTCATCTACTGGATATCGACTCAAAGGTAAGTTTGCGTTAGCGAGACGTCGTGGCATGTACTGGAATCTGCTCTCTGAACGGAGGTGGGAAAACTCGGCAATAAATCGATTGTCTTCGCTGTAAAACCTAACCAGTTAGCACCTGGAGAATAGAAATACGACATTTGAATAATGCGAATTGTAGTGCTTGGGAAAGGCATGATTGAGAGTCTGTGATTTGTCTTAGGTAGGTGCCAGAGTAAGCGAATATTTTGTTCAGGTTGGGGTCCCGCGCAGATCTGACATCTCTCACCATGCTGGCGTCAATCCAAGTGACGCCAGTTCTGCGCGGGACCCCAACCTGAACAAAACATTCGCTTACTCTGGCACCTACCTTAACGTGCTTGCTTTTCTTTCTGTCCGTAATTGACAGAAGTGGGCGTTTTGCTACACGAGTTGTGGTTGCGCTTTTATGGCTGTGGATAAAATTTAACACGAGCTAGGAAAGAAAATCTGCAATGATCATTCTTTACTTTACTCTTATAATGAAGGCTTATTTACTGAAACTACTTACGAGGGAAGCTTGTTTAGTCAAAGTGGCCTTTCTAAATGGGATGTGCACCATATCAAAGGGCACAAAACGCTAATTCCAAATCTACCTTCCTTATCTGCAGAACGTTTATGGACGAGGAGCTATGAACGTTTTTTGAAGCCAAAAATTGATAGTGCATTTGGGATAAAATGAGTTGGTAAGATCTTAACCAAACTAGCCTTCAAATAATGTAACAGTGTAATATATTTTTTATATTACAGTATTTTTCGAGTAAAATGCTCTGATGATTTTCACTGCTCCACTGAAGAGCTAGAAAAAGTATTACGGCTATTTTTGTCCTACTTGCACATTTAATTTTTTGCCCCAATAAGCGCACATAACTCCTCGTCCATAAACGTTCTACAGATAAGGAAGGCAGATTTGAAACCAGAACTTTATGCCCTTCAATATGGTGCACATCTCATTCAGAAAGGCCACTTCTCTAAACGCGCATTCCTTGTTAGGTGATTACACTCCGCAAAAAGTTCAAAACAGCGAGCGTTTGCTACAAAATACTTTATTCGAAGAATGGATTTTTGTTATAAGTGTTGCTGAAATCCTTCAGTATCTATATGTTCCACCTTTACGGATATTTCAGTTTCTGGTGGGTTGCATGTTTTCCTAAGTCGCATCCGTGCGAATCTAGGTGGCCGAACTTCTTTTTTGGATACGGAAGAGGCCTTAGTTAAGTTAATGCCCTCTAGGGCTTACATAATTCGAACGTGGCCCTCAGCCCTCCTACGGTACTCGAGGGAATAAAGCTGTATATGTACTCCTTGATCTAACTGGATTGGCGGCTGGGAGGCGGGGCTTCATGACCTAATTGCTAAAAAATGATCAGAGAGCGCTTTCGCGAGAGAAACGAAGACTGCTTCGCCAGGCGCGAGCGGTCGCCTTCCAGCCGCCACTCGTTGAATCAAGGGTAGACTTACGAAAAAATTCTCGTAACCGCTAAATGTGCCCGTCAACGCAGAACGTTTCCACTGTTCTATATTTATAACTTGAGCTACAAACTTTGCTAGAAAAAAATGCGATAGCTGTGAATGCATTTGTGGCGTAGTCGACAAACTACCATTATACTGAATAAACGCCGAATCCGGTGAAAAATTTTTATCCATAAATCAGTAATTATGAACAAGAGATAAAATCACATTTGTACAGAACCTGTTAAAGTAAGTGAGTGTATGTTGCGGAAGAAGTGAAATGAATGATGGTTTTTATTACACTCCTAGACCAGTTCGAGCTCCTCTACCAGTAGGCCCAGTGAATACACTGGGCACATGACTATTCGTCGTTGGACGGACATTAAAAACAATTCCATTCTCATCCATCATCTGGTCGGTTAGAGTCTCCGCACCAACTTGTTTCCGCTGAAAATTAGTTGATTTTCTTTGAAAGACGCATGTGTTGTAAGCTAAGAGGACCAGGAATCGCAAGAATTTTCTGTGGTTTTCCTGCGTCAAATATGTAGTGAGATTAACTTACCCAGTCATCATCACCTCTGAGGTGCATAACTGGACGAAATCGTACATTCAACATTCCTTGTCTTCGAGCTGTTTGCTTCTCAGAGCGATATGCATCCAACAAGGACATACTGCATACTACTAAAATTGTCAAAAGTAAAAAATTATTGAAGACACTATCAGGCATGCGCTACTAGTCTCAGTTTTTTCCTTCATTTGCGTAGCAATTTGATAATGTTGCCTTAGAGCAAGTTATGTCCAAGGTGGGGTTATAGCCTAAGCATTAAAAAATCATGGTAAGAAAATGGAACTGTATTCCTTTTTCAATCGCGATCAAGAGCTTGCGCATCGCATCAGCTGTAGGTAGTTAATTTCCAAACATTAGGAAATCAGTTTAGCATAAAAATTTCTAAGCGTGATTTTGCAAAAATTCTACAATCCGCTCTATCTCAGCTTGTAAGGTATAGTCTGCATTTGGAAAACTTTTCCTATCGGTATCCCTGTGGTGCAGACCAGGCGCGTTAACGCATTCCGTGGAGCACTTGTGACAGCAAATTTCGAACATTAAAGTGTATCAAAATTGTTGCAGTGTTCGAGGGTAGTGCTCCAACCTAATGTGGGACTATTGCAAAGATAAGTGGGGCGAATTTTGGGGGACATGCACTTTGCATCTTCCTCCAAACCTTTGCCGGAGATTGCAGTAAGAAAGAGGTAGAGTGACATTCGCTTTAACGCTTTAACGTTGAAGGCTGTACGTATATTACAAGATGCAGAAATACCCACAGAGGAACTTCGAATTACCTTCAACTGCATAAATACAAGCTACAAACCTATTGATCGTCTAGAGTGAAATAAGAGTTTTTAAGGAGTAAATTCAGCAGACCAAGTGCTTCAAGGAGCAGCGTCTGAAAGGAGAGCGTTGCGTGTCGTCACGGGATACCGAAAAGAATTTTCAGACGCAAACTATAAGCATAAGCATGTCAGAGGGGGGGGGGGGCGAAGAGGCGGGAGGGAGATTTGTGAGTTTTTCTCTATTTGAATGATGCTAAGCTCTCAGTGGTGTTCTGCCCCTTACGCAGCAAAGCTGTGTTCTCGGATCTTACCTGTCAAGCACATTGAGATCAAGAGCAGTCCTTGTGTGGTTAACATCTGAAAACAATTTTCTTTTACTTTGCATTGGAGAAATTTTGAAATCAAATCATACGGATAACACAGAAATGGGTTCGAACATCGACCAGCTACCATCTTTTGATGTACTCATAACAAGCATCCAAATAAATGAATTTCCACAGAATTTAAAGATAGCGATAAATGTAATCTGGTTTTGCGTACATTTTACCAAGTGGTCTGCGGTTCTGTTATATTGATTAAAGTATTGGGCTCTTGAATCGTGACTGAAAGGGCGGGGGAACCTAGATGGGCTGACCCCACTTTCGGAGTTACTTGTTCGCGCCTACCGTGATGTCTGCACATTATACTAACATTCAAATTTTTTTCGATTATTCGAGCAATCGAATATATTCTAAAATCAAAATTATCGAATAATCGAACTTCGAATATTTTCAAAATCAAAAATGTCGAATATCCGAATATCGAATATTCTCTAAGATCACAAATGACGAATAATCGAACATCGATTATTTTTGAAATAGGAAAATTGTATAATCGAATATAAAATACTTTCGAAATGGAACAAATTCGAATAATCGAATTTATTCGAGAAAAAATTGGAATAAACGAATACTTTGCATCGATTGTGTCGAATATTCAAACAAATTTTGACTGAATTAGCACAATGAAGGACTAGATATAGTGGGCAATTTGAACAACAAACGATATATGTGACGCTATTATGTAGTTATTTGATTACATGAAAATGTCGAATAATCGAACTAACATTGCAACTAGATATTCGACTGCTCGAATATTTTCGAAAGTCAAAATTTTCAAAAAAAGGATAATGGAATAAATTCGAAGTTGACAATTTCAAATAAGAGAATATCAAATATATTCGAGATTTTACAATTTTTGGAATAATCGAATTAATAAAATTTATTCGAGTATTTTATTCGAATACCTTCATATTTATTCGATTCTGTCCAAAGTATACTGCACACCTGGGTGATATACAGTTGCAGCGGTGGAATTTGTCCAAAACTGCGGGATTGTCGGGATTCGCGGGATTCGCGGGATTCGCGACTTCGCGGGATTTACGGGATTCGCGGGATTTTCGGGATAAGCGGGATTTAGCTATAACTTCTTTAAAAATAGCTTTATTTGTAATCTGAGTGAAGATTTGGCTTCAGCTTGATGAGACGAATCTTTTGATATACGGTATGTCCGTAGTTCATAGTGACGGGGTAGACATACAATGATACCTTATTGTTTTCTACGTTAAGGCTTTTGTGAACATTTATCACAGTGTAAATCGCGTATAGGAGGTTCTGGTACGAAGCTCTCGTTATCGAAAACTATCGCGAAATATTGGGCAGTTTTTATCTACCCTTATCGCTGATATAAGCATTTTATCATTTATCACTGATAATAGCACATTTTTGGATCATTTTTTGCATATGGTAAGGAAAGTACTGTAGGAAAAGCTGTGTGAATTTCTATCGCTCTTTCTCTCATTATAAGTGATCTACAGGCTTTTCTAGTTCTATTGCTCGGTGCGATTGGTAGATCCCTCGCTGCAGCAATCGATCGATTTTTCATCGGCACATGCCATTGCTGCCAATTCTTACCTAGAATGGCATTTTTGCTTCAACTCGCTTCACGCCGAAGCCTGGGCTGAAATTCTGTACATATATGGAAGATGAACGTGGAAATCGACCGCATGAATTTAAGCCATTCTTATCTGTCGTTGTCATTGATATCATCATTTTATCATTTATCACTGACGACACAAAATTGGATCATTTTTGATATACAATAAGAAATGTACTTTAGAAAACGCTGTGTGAGTTTTTATCGCTCTATCTCTTATAGTACGAAACCACTCACAGAACATGCAAATTCCGGGAATTCCGCGAAATTCATGTGAATCACGCAAATTACGCAGGGCCATAACTTTTTTCCGAATGATATATTCAAAATCCGAAAACAACGTTGTATTCAGCTCGTCAAGGCAAATCTTTTGATATACGATTGTCTCCAATATCTTGTTTTCAATAATCTTGAATTTGCATGCCGACGCCTCTTCGCATGGGTGTAACACAACAAGCATCACACATAGGAGACTGCCATGGGCACCGTTCGATAGTACTCTTTCACTAGATTATCGTGCGCTAAACAGCAGCCGAAGACTCCCTTTTAAAAGAGATAGAAGAGCTGATAAACTCTGGAAAAATTAAGCTGTTCCAAGTTTTACTAGCCGTAACTTTCTTTAGAATGAACATTTTCGAAATCAGAAAGCAGATTTGTGTTCATCTTGTCAAGTCGAATCTTACTGTATACAGCATGTTCTTGAAGTTCCGTTTTCAATTTTTTCAAAATTTTCTGCACGCCTATATTCACAACGTCGCAACGCAGCGCACATCAAACATAAAAGACTCTGTTAAGCACTGTTGGATTGTGCTGCTTCCGCAGATTATCGAGCGCTAAGAAGCAACCGGAGAATCTTCTTGAGAAAAGATAGAAGAGCTGGTGAATTCTGGAAAATCGTGTTGTCTCAAATTTTGCCCACAGTGACCCTAAAATGAGAAGCTCTACTGCTAAGCAGATGTGATTTTCGTAATCAGCAGGTCAGACAACCTCTATGAGCAAGTTTTCAAAGAAATTTGGGTGATTCGATTTTTTCTCGTTCTACGCCCTGAAGCTCGCCGATGGGTTTTGGTCAAAATGTCGATGACCTTGGATTGTAAAAAAACTTCGCCCAAAGAGGTTTTCGAACACGCTGTTTACGAAACTAGTGGTCTTTGAAGAAGACAGGGTCTTTTTGTAGAGATATTGTGAGGTGACTGTAACTGAGTCACGAAAGTTCGTAAATTTGCCTGCACTTTTCGCGAATTTGTCAGAAAACTAGCCTGCTTGCTTTTCCTAGTCAAAATCACTGGGAACTGTGCTATCAAAAGGTGCATGCTCAGGCTCAAGTCTATAAAGTTTGCCGAGTTACGAGCCTACGAAAAGACGTCCTCATAATTTTCGCTCGAAATGTAAAAATCGCGTATCGAAATTCCGCCCTCAGTGGTTGTAGGACATACTGATCAAATCTGTTCACATTGGTTAATGGTCTTAATGCTGCTGCTGGATTTGGAAATTAGGTAGATCTGAGCTCAAGCTACGAAGGTGCTTGTGTCGAGACGCAGACTAATTAGAGTCCGACAGTCCCCTCGCCGACTGGGCGGTGCCACCAACTTCAGATGAGCTGGTACTCCCCGGGTGCTCGGTGGTCCCCTCCCCAATTATGTTCCCTCATATTTATATTTATGTTATAACGATAAAATAATCTAGTCAGAACTGTTATGTTATTACAAAGGAGAGAAACTAAGGGTAGAGGGATCCAAGTTAAGAGAATAGCTAACTCTTCAGACTTGACACCTGGATATTCAAATGAGCAGCTGAAGAACACGTGACCACCATATTCAACTCAATGGGATCCCTTAGGCGAAGTGAGCATATGCAGTCAGAATGTCATACAACCACTGAGGGCGGAATTTCGACGAAATACGCGATTTTTACATTTTGAGCGAAAATTATGAGGACGTCTTTTCGTAGGCTCGTAACTCGGCAAACTTTATAGACTGGAGCCTGAGCATGCACCTTTTGATAGCACAGTTCCCAGTGATTTTGACTAGGAAAAGCAAGCAGGCTAGTTTTCTGACAAATTCGCGAAAAGTGCAGGCAAATTTACGCACTTTCGTGACTCAGTTACAGTCACCTCACAATATCTCTACAAAAAGACCCTGTCTTCTTCAAAGACCACTAGTTTCGTAAACAGCGTGTTCGAAAACCTCTTTGGGCGAAGTTTTTTTACAATCCAAGGTCATCGACATTTTGACCAAAACCCATCGGCGAGCTTCAGGGCGTAGAACGAGAAAAAATCGAATCACCCAAATTTCTTTGAAAACTTGCTCATAGAGGTTGTCTGACCTGCTGATTACGAAAATCACATCTGCTTAGCAGTAGAGCTTCTCATTTTAGGGTCACTGTGGGCAAAATTTGAGACAACACGATTTTCCAGAATTCACCAGCTCTTCTATCTTTTCTCAAGAAGATTCTCCGGTTGCTTCTTAGCGCTCGATAATCTGCGGAAGCAGCACAATCCAACAGTGCTTAACAGAGTCTTTTATGTTTGATGTGCGCTGCGTTGCGACGTTGTGAATATAGGCGTGCAGAAAATTTTGAAAAAATTGAAAACGGAACTTCAAGAACATGCTGTATACAGTAAGATTCGACTTGACAAGATGAACACAAATCTGCTTTCTGATTTCGAAAATGTTCATTCTAAAGAAAGTTACGGCTAGTAAAACTTGGAACAGCTTAATTTTTCCAGAGTTTATCAGCTCTTCTATCTCTTTTAAAAGGGAGTCTTCGGCTGCTGTTTAGCGCACGATAATCTAGTGAAAGAGTACTATCGAACGGTGCCCATGGCAGTCTCCTATGTGTGATGCTTGTTGTGTTACACCCATGCGAAGAGGCGTCGGCATGCAAATTCAAGATTATTGAAAACAAGATATTGGAGACAATCGTATATCAAAAGATTTGCCTTGACGAGCTGAATACAACGTTGTTTTCGGATTTTGAATATATCATTCGGAAAAAAGTTATGGCCCTGCGTAATTTGCGTGATTCACATGAATTTCGCGGAATTCCCGGAATTTGCATGTTCTGTGAGTGGTTTTGTACTATAAGAGATAGAGCGATAAAAACTCACACAGCGTTTTCTAAAGTACATTTCTTATTGTATATCAAAAATGATCCAATTTTGTGTCGTCAGTGATAAATGATAAAATGATGATATCAATGACAACGACAGATAAGAATGGCTTAAATTCATGCGGTCGATTTCCACGTTCATCTTCCATATAGGTACAGAATTTCAGCCCAGGCTTCGGCGTGAAGCGAGTTGAAGCAAAAATGCCATTCTAGGTAAGAATTGGCAGCAATGGCATGTGCCGATGAAAAATCGATCGATTGCTGCAGCGAGGG